ATCAAGTTTAACGTGTACCACCAGTGGTACACATGGCACGGAACGTGTTAAAAAATTCAAAGGAAAAGTATATTGAGAAGTATACGCTTAATGAGCACGGACTCAGCAGATTCTTGTTGAGTTAAAAATAATAGCACGAGCCATCATTTTCGAAAAAGGACTGACACGTGTTTCGTATGTACTTATATCAACTTTCATATCTACAGTCTGACGTTACATTGTATTTTGCAAGGATGACTTGAAAAGTTTTGTCTTCGCTTAAGTAAAAAAGAAAACAGAAAAAAAAAAAAAAACGAACGGAGAGACAAATTTTGAAATAACGATAACAATAAACCTTCATTCTTTATATTTAAAATTACATACTTACTTTACTTGATAAAAGTCACTGTCTTCTTCTCGAAAACCATTTCTTCGCCTCGTTACAGCTTTTGGTCAAGTGTTCTTTTAATTTCGAGAATCAGAACATCATAGACGAAGAACTGGTTCTGAGAAGAAGATCTTGACTATTTTCACGAATGAATTAGAAAAATTAGTAGAACGTTGACGGAAAAGCGATTATGCGTATAAACGAGCAATGAGAAATAAAGAAATTTAACAAAAATTTATTTTTACTGTTTCATAAGAAGATTATCTTCCTCTTACTCAGCTTCGTATAAATGCTAACACTTTTGATTTATATACTTTGTATGTCGCAGAGACATGGGATAGAAGGAAAACACATGGCATTCATTCAAATCACGAGAATGCAAAATTTCGCACGAATTACAATTATTTTGTTTACTTTCTAGCGACGATGTGGTGGTTATTTTATAAAATAACAATACTCACTAGCCTCTGGTAAGATGTCGATGCGATCCAGTTCTTCCAATCTGCTCGTGAGATGATTCAGTGACTGTAAACTGTTCGAACGGCGTACGAAAAATGCACTTCGATCTTGACTGGTCTTCTCGGCAATGCTACCGACAGATTTCGATCTCTTCAAAGAGCGATCTTTGAACAGTATCGGCTGGTCGCTTCTAACTTTCAAATAATTACCTAGTTAAATTATCGTGTTGAAAACATTGACACGCATCTAATTGTTCGATCGATCACTATCAAATTAGAGTCTTACTCGTTGGCGAGTCCGTTGATATTTCGATGGTCGATCGTCTTAGAAATGGTATGTAAGCAGGCCCTAAGAGGCGGAACGTTGAAGATGTGGGCGATATTCCACGATATCGCTCCCAGTCATATAGCTTCCTTGTGAATTCTCGTGAAATGCCTTCGAATCGGTATGATCCGACGGATGTGCGGACGAAGACTTCGTTGGTATCGTTTAGGTTCTGTGTTCCATCGGCATATGATCTTGAATAAAACATATGTCAACTCTTTGAGCGTTTAGTCAATGCTAGAGTATGTATTGTACGCGATAATCTCATAATTAATAATACATGCAGGGCCAATCAGTGTAAGTCGCTTATGATTAGAAATAATATTGTGAAATTATGAGCGTGCGGATACTTTTGTCAACCACTGTATATTATTTTATTTTATTCTTATTTTGAACTGAAACGTAGAATGATAGAAAGCAAGGTAGAATGTTGTTAGTTTTAATATGGATTAAATGAGAAAGACGCCGAATTTTTCGTCATACCTTGCGTCCCCGTCGAAACATTCGTCCAGTTGTTGAACGTCGCAGCCACGTCTCTCTCTGGTCGCGTTATTATTAAAAAGCGACAGTAACTTTTCCAGCGCGAGAAACTCGGTTTCATCGAAACCGGACGCATCGATTTTCAATCGATCCGATTTCGAATCGTAATTACCACTGTCGTTCGCCCTCTTCGAACTATCGATTTTTCGTGGCAGATCGTCGCCAAGCTGAGACCTGCCGTCGTTGGCGATTTCTCTAACAGATTCAACGCCGATCTGCGGGGCCGCGACCTCTCTGTTCCTGTACTCAGTTTTCGAGGGAGATCTCCAAAGTTGCCAGTCGGTCAAACGACGTCGCTTGATCCTTTGCTGTTCAAGGGGAGCGCTTCCACGTCGTACTTTCTTGGCGCGTTTCCAGTCCTGCAGCTTCTTCCTGAACTCGGGAGCTAATCTTTCCTCAGACAGCAAACTCTCTCGCGGGCTTGGTACGCTGAACGAAATCTCACGGACTTCTTTCGTGGCGACGCGAGGTGGAAGATTCTTCAAACGTTCCCATTCCACCAGCTTTTGATGGAACTCGCTTCCCAATTTTCCCTTGAGAGCACGATAATCTTGCCGCGTGTCCGCTTGCACGTTCGACGGAGTTCCCTTCTCTAAATTTTCCGCGCTGTCGTTGTGATTACAACCAATTGATGCTTCTAATCCTAAACGAATAGAAATGAGGATTATTATCGAATTGTCCCATGAATTTTAAGTGGAATTAATTAATCGTGTATTTAATTCTTCTGGAACGTTATGTTCTATCGTTCATTTTGCAGTTACCACCCCTGGCAAGAAAATATTGAAATCGCAGAACATAAATTACAAATGAAGTGATTTCGGAAACTAATGAAGCTTTAACATTTTTTTCTTTTTTTTTTTTCTAAGAGAACGATTAAATTGCTAATGAATAGAATAAAAAAAAAGAATAAGAATTTGACTTTGAAAATCATGCTCCAGGTCAATTATGCGATCGACAAATAATTCTTTGATACTCTGTATATCGTATAAGTTTTGATAAGTATTGCATTTCATTTTTTATTAATTATATTAATCCCCTTGATTAAGGAGGGACATTTAACTAAATTCACTGTTTCATTGATCGGGAGGAGAATCTCGTCAAACTACATTATTATTGACATTATCGATATATTATTTTCACAACACCAACTACGTACTTTTCGAGCAATATGTACGATTAAAAACAATCGTCTTCTTTTGTTGCAACGAAATTTGGTTAGTTTTTATTTCTCGTACCGTGAATCTGGCATGTTGGCCGCAAAATTTGTCGTCCCTGTTGCTCGTACAATTCGTACCAATATTTTCAAGCATTCTTTACGCAATAATAAGCAATGTGGCAACGCGCTGTGTGAAAAGTTGCGAAACGTTAGAGAGGAGGAAGTATTAGCAAAGTGTAAAGAATATCAAGAGAAACTTGCTAAATGCCCGAAACAAACCAACGAAAAGCGATGTTCTAAGAAACAGATTGCAAAACCTTCGTCAAAAGTAGTAAATGCCATTTGTTCCATTTTTTAGCCCTCGCTTTTAGCTACAGCAATAGAAAAAATTATCGTCAATGAAAGGCTTCTCTACAAAAAGAAAACTTCAATCTTCAGGACGATAGTAGACTTAGTAACGAACGAAATTTTTTTTAATATTTTTATATATACGCATTTGAATTTTGACAATTTTCGAGAAAGTATCACTTTTCCACGTTATATAAACGTCACGTCAACTTCGAACAAAATGAACTTAGGATTGTCGAAGTGATCCTTTTTTTCACTGTACGTTAGAAAAATAAACGTCACCTCTGTACTTGTATTTGCTGCAAATTTAATATAACATTTTACAAAAAAAAAAAAGAAACAAAGTCAACTGATTTTGATTATAGATTGATAGAATTGACGAGAGTGAAAATACAATAACCACTCGCAAAAGTTACTAAATCCTGTTCCAGTGCAAAGGGAAGAATGTCGCCGACGATTACCAGAAAGTTTATCAAGATGTGACGAAACAAGCGGACGTTATCTTGAAGAACGTTCGAAACGCGTCGAAATCCATGTTAACGCGATTGACGAGGGGCATCGAGTTGTCGAGAAATAACGAGCAGATACCGGTTCAAGGAATTTTCCACGACATTCAGATGACGGTGCAGAAGTTACTCGCCGTAGATCCGTCGTTCGGCTCGGTGAAACGAAAATCTGCGATGATGCTGAATCACGAGATACGTCAGGCTTTCGACAACGTGGATTGCGACCTCGTGGCCCGTGTGAAACGAATAAATGCAATTATCGAGAGTTTAGAACGCGACGTGCAAGTTTGCATCGGTCGCGCCAAAACTCTGATATCCTCTTGCCGCAAGTGCAAGAACTCGCAAGCGTTGGCCAAATGCGTCGAAGAAGCCGCGACCTACGCGGGCAATATATTGAAGAAAACGTCTCGGGACGGGCAAGCTGGCTTCGACAGGATCGAATCGTTGCAACGTGGAATATTGAAATACCACGAGGAATCGTTAACGAATGTTTCGCAAACGTGTCGCGAGAGGGGTGAGGCGTTCTTGCAACACCTGAACGATTGTGTCTGTGCTGTGAAAAACGGGAAGAAACGACCATCTGATTAAAGTTTACATCCACATTTAAAGAAGCCGTGTCGTGGTATGAATGTGTGATAAAATGTTCGACTTACCGTCTTGAAATAGCATTTGCCTGGGGACGACGTTGATGATATTCGACGGGACGCTTGGCGTTGAATTCGTTAGGAATGCTCGTCTGACTTTGTTCCACTTGGAATCTGGCCTCTGCATCTTCGCCGATTCTCCGCCGAATGATTGCTGCATCGCAACGAAAAGCGTGTGAAATTAAAATAATAATAATCGAAGAGGTAAATAACAAGGGTTCTTCGAAAATATAAGGGGAGATTCGACGTTTCTTTACTTCAAAGAGGAAGACAGTTTTATTAACCTGCCGTTTGAAATCTTTATTTATAGACAGGTCTCGATACGTCTTCCTATGTTGTGGCGAATTTCCTGCCGAGTTGATCGCATTGAAAAAAAGTGGCGAATTCGATTCCGGGGAAGATGTGTATCTGATGTCCTCTTCGTGCGATGGTATCGTAATCGTCAAGGTTGGCGTTGATCTCTTCGACGTCGTTTCTGTACCTTTCTCGTCCATTCTGTTCGACGATAGTATCGCCTGGTTTTTATCCGATGTAATTCGAATTAATGGTTTCCCCTGTCCGACCTGACATTTTATATAAACATTGTATTTTGTTAATTGAAAAAACGTATGTCGCGTAAAGTGACTCAAACTGTATGTATGACGCTCTCTCGTCGATCGTTAATACGATTACGATTAGTGAATTTTGATTTTCGTTCGATCGAAATTTATTTATATACATGTTTCGAAAGTATAACATTTGCAGGCAGAAATGTTGCGAATGAAATCAGTGAGAAAGTGTATAAACTTAATAATTAAACAGGAATATTTTATTTACCTCGTTCATTAATCCCAGCTCGTTAACTTGTGAAGTATCTAATATAAGAATATTATCATCGAGAGACTCGCTGTGCCAATTTCCATACACTGGTTTTTTATTCGGTGGTTTTCTCTTTAGAGATTTATAATCTAAATGATTCAAAGCACTCTTCTGCGAACCTAGAAAAATTTCAAGAGTCAAAAGAGAAAACAGAAAGCATACAGTGCTGTACGACAAACTTGTACAAAGTTATAGGAATATTTACGAATTTCATTAGAATCGTAAAATCCTTCATTGAACGAAGATGGAGGCGAGGTTCGACCGAAGAGCGTCCCTACGTTGCAATGTTCGATAACAGGAGAGGAAGCATTGGTAGTATTGCTCGATTCTCTAATTTCAACGTCTGGTATTCTGTGATACTTAGCCGTTGGAGACGAGGGAGAAACGGTGGTGGTGGATGGCGTGCTCGTTGCCATCGACGGTTCCGTAATTTCTGCGTCGTTCGTGTAAGCTCTTTCCCACTTGAAAGCGGCCTTGACTCTGGTCCACTTCGAAACCTTCGGCGCACTTCCAGAAATTTCATCTATCGACGCTTGCTTGAAGTCCACGTCGAATTTATTTCTCAGTTGCCTGGACGAGGACGATCGAATGTTCCGCTTTTGGAACGGCGAATCCCTGCAATTCGACAGCATAGCGTCCAACAAGGATTCCGCGAATCCGGTGTCCTCCTCGCAAACGTCGATAGCCGCGTCGTCCTTGTCGCCTGTGAAAGCATTCTCCAACTTATGATTGGCACTGCGTAGTATTTTCAGCCGTTCCAGATTCCTCACGCGTTTGAAAAACTTCGAGCTGCGATCCCTCAGCTCGAGAATTTGCTCGGCGAACGCGTACAAACGATCTAAGTGCTCGAAGGCATCTTCCGCGTAAACGCCTGAAATAGCCATTGCAGACACAGCAGAATTTCTCGAGGGGCACTCCGACGTTTGACCTTCGAACGGCAACGTCCCACAATCCGTCAAGTAGGCGATCATGTCTTCGTCTTCGTCGACGTTCCGACTCTGCCCTACTTCCGTTTGATCTCGCGGATTCTGCAGGCGCCATAAGCTCGCCCATGGATCCGGTGGCGGTGCAGGTAATTCACTTTCGTCCACTTTGTGTTTACCTTTCGACGATGTTCTTTGTTCGGCAACGCGGCTCGTGCCGTACAATCCTCGATCGGCATTCCTTTCGGCCTTTTGACCACTATGATCACCGAACTTCTCATTATCAACCATTTGACTGGTTTTACCACCCGCGAGCTCTTCGATCGAATTCTTAATACTCTTAGGTATATTGGAGCAATCTAATTTTAGAACATATGTATATTTTTGCGGAAGTTTTCTACGAGTTTAGGTATCGCCCTCGGCTTGGTATTTAGAAATTCCAACAGTTCATTTATTTAATTCGAAATTAAGATGATAAAGATATAACGATGATCACTTGCGAAGTACTTAGGCATATAGTGTGTATAGGCTTTTCCCTCGATACTGAAGTCGAGGATCAACAGAGACGGATCATGAACAGCACTAACTTTTGTACCACTCTTCCGTTACACATCGGCAAGAATTTACTCGTTCGATTTTCTATCACTGATCCGACACAAAGCAAACACACGACCAATAATATCTTATCGTACGTTTGTTCGTTAATGAAGCTAATGTTATTGCAAGAATTCGTGTTAAGAAAGATCGGCAAGTCTCACGGCGAATATCTCAAAGGTTCGCGATGGGAATGCATTTTTTTACGTTTGGCGACGTCAAGAGAGCCGCGGAAGAAGCAGCCTAAAATCGCAGCAACGTCCTCGCGTGATTATTTTCGGTAGCAGGCATTCGGCATTCGTATTTACAACGAACACAAGAGCGTGTTCGTGACGACGAGGCCTCTCCACCACGTTCGAAGAGCATGCGCGAGAGCATGTCCACGATAACCGAGTAAAAGAGACGGTCTTCCTGTTCTCGTCGAAAATAGACGGTGTGAAGACCATGGAATAGTGGCCGCCCACGTTTGCATACCCTATATACTGATTGCAGTACAACTAGT